TATCTTAATGATTGTTTATATTGTTGTAGTATGGCTTGCTCTGGTGACAAAATACACCAAGTAACTATTCCCTTTTGCAGATAATGGATTGCTTTTTGGATTTTTTAGTAGAGGCGGGGTTTCACCATGTTAGCCAGGATGTTCTCAATCTCCTGACCTTGTGATCTGCCCTCCTCGGCCTCCCAAAGTGCTGTGATTATAGGTGTGAGTCACTGCGCCCAGCCTAAATTTTCTTAAATAGAGCAAAGTGATACTGTTTTTCTTTCCTCTTAGAAATATGTGGGATATGCATATTGACATCTGGCAGGATCTGTGTGCCTCCTTAACCAAAGATTTTTAAAAATAGGTTTATGTAGAAACAGGGGAAAGGGCAATGTTTGTTCAATATAGGTGAGAATTTTAACAGGAATAATGTTTATTTTCCAGTTAATGTGTCAGAAAAGACCTACTAGCAGATATAAAAAGTCATGTCCAGAAAGATAAGGGAGGTCACCTGCTATTTTTTTCTTTATAGTGGCAGCTCTCGCCGTCGGGATTATTATGACAGAGGATATGATCGGGGCTATGATGATCGGGACTACTATAGCAGATCATACAGGTAAGTTATGAGGTAGAAAGGTCAACGTCTGAATCTCAGTAGTGTACAGAGCAGCACTATGCTTAAGTTTTAGCCCTTGGTAAAAGCTTTGCTTTAGTACTTTTACTCTAGAAATGCAGAGCAGAAGCGTAAATCAGATTTTAAGGTTCTGTGTCTTTTAATCAATTTAATGTGTAATTGGATTTCTGTTCAAATATTCTAGAATATAAATGGGATTTAGATGATAACTTATAATGTTAATAATAAAATGTATTCTTTTTAAACATTGAATGAGGCTGGGCACAGTGGCTCACACCTGTAATCCCAATACTTTGGGAGGCCAAGGCAGGCAGATAACCTGAGGTCCAGCCTGGCCAACATGGTGAACCCCGTCTCTACTAAAAATACAAAAATTAGCCGGGCATGGTGGTGCATGCCTGTAGTCCCAGCTACTCGGAAGGCTGAGGCAGATGAATTGCTAGAACCCGGGAGACAGGTTACAGTGAATTGAGATTGCACCACTGCACTCCACTCTGGGCAACAGAGCGAGACTCTCTCCAAAAAAAAATAATAATAATAATGAAAGCAGAATTATAGGCTGAGACGGGGGGATTGCTTGAGCCCCGGAATTTGAGACTGACCTGGGCAGCATGGAGAGACCCCATCTGTAAAAAATTGAGGCAGGAATCTGGGGAGATTGAAGCTGCAGTGAGCCAGGTACACTCCCATCTGAGTCTCCTCCCACCAGAGCAAGACCCCACCTTAAAAATTAAAAAAAAAAAAAAAAAATTATAGCCTCTGTCTTAGTCTTGTAAAAGCAAATTTCATAAGCCATTTTGGAAAGCCACCACTTTTCAGGCAGTTTCTTGGAATCTCTAATGCATGCATCGTACACTTAGAGGGCAGGTAAAACTGATGCTTTGAAAGAGTCCAGAGAATAATTTTACGACATTAATTTAGTATGACAAGGGTAAGTCGCTTTTTATTGTTGCCAGAAATTTGGTATTTCGGGGTTTGGGTAGGGAAATGTCAATCATATTTTAAAAATAAAGATACCTTTGAGAATACTTCCAAAGATAAGAATGAAGGAAAATCGTGACATTTTGGTCCTCCCTTGCTTTGTCAAAATGTGTAATTTGACAAGTCAAATAATACAGTTAGTATTGACCACTGTTGTCATTGATAATGGTATTGAGGTATGGATGTCTTTTTTGTGGATTATTTGGTAATGTTTAAGAAGTTAACAGTTGTTAATCATTGTCTGAAAGTGAGTCTGTAAGTGTATTCTTGTTCAGCATTTTATCACCCATGAAAACCCTTTTTTATTTAAAGCATCACTCTGTTGAATGGTACTAAAGGTACTGATTTGTTGAGACTGAGATTAGGCTGGCTGTTTGGTTTTGTTTTTTTTGAAGAGCATTTACTTAGGAATGTTCTGTGTTCTGATACTACTCGTTTCAGCCACCAGAGAGAACTCTATGCAGGTTTCTAAAAAGAGTGGCAAATCATTTGACCTGCAAGAAACATCTCATTCATGCTGTATGAAAGTTTTTATTTTACTAAATGAATGACATCATTTTTCAAAACTTACAAACGGAATGCCTGTTGCCTTTCTGTCTTCACAGAGGAGGAGGTGGCGGAGGAGGAGGATGGAGAGCTGCTCAAGACAGGGATCAGATTTATAGGTACGCCAGGAGAGGACTTAGCATCTGTACAACTGTAGAAAGTTTCACATAAAGATGTTTGCCTACTAATGTTTTGGTAAATTATAAGTGGAATGCCCAAAATCATACTGTTTGAAGCTCATGAAAATATTCTAACGGAAACTAAATGACTACGTAAAATCTTTGTATATTTATAAAAATTAATTGGGTTTACAATGGGTTATTATTTAGTGGTACCATTTTATACCTTGATGAGGTACAGTGATGTTAAAGTGACTTTAACTTTAAAGTGAAGTTAAAGTCACTGATAAGAACTCATTTTTTTGTCATTATGTTCTTGTATTACATTTTATTTGCTTTTTGTAAGCATCTAATAGCACATGAACAGCTTTTTTTACACAAAGCTAAATCCTGAAGTACTTGTGGAATTAGTTTTGGGTATTCATGAGGGTGCTGTTGGAATTATTGAATGGTATGGGAATTTTCTCTCATTTTTATTTTTAATTTTTGGAGACAGAGCAACACTATTGCCTAGGCTGGAGTACAGTGGAGCAATTACAGCTCACTGCAGTCTCTGCCTCCCAAGTAGCTGGGATTACAAGCGTGCACCACCACACACACATAGCTAATTTTTTTGTATTGTAGTAGAGACAGGTTTTCACCATGTTGGCCAGGCTGGTCAAACTCCTGGCCTCAAGTGATCCTCCTACCTTGGCCTCCCAAAGTGCTGGGATTACAGGCGTGAGCCACGCACCCAACCAGGAATTTTTCTGTTACCTCTCTTAATCATACTTCACAAAATTTAAGAGATAAGCAGATTAAAATATAGCAAGGATTATTTGACCTGAAAGTTATTTGGTACTTGGGCCTGATAATGTACTTCATTCTCAAGACTTAAACAGACATCGAAGGTTCATGCAGCGTTTCCTTTTTTGGAAACTGATAAAAGGGCAGTATTTATAGTCGTAAATTTATATGTTTGGTCTAATTATTGAGACTTAGACAATCTTGACATTTGTTTATAGAAGGCGGTCACCTTCTCCTTACTATAGTCGTGGAGGATACAGATCACGTTCCAGATCTCGATCATATTCACCTCGTAAGTTTTTATCTTAATGATTGTTTATATTGTTGTAGTATGGCTTGCTCTGGTGACAAAATACACCAAGTAACTATTCCCTTTTGCAGATAATGGATTGCTTTCAGGTAGTTTTATCTATACCTATGATTCTGCACACACCCTGAATGGTTTTTTGGTTCAAGAAAGTTTATGGAAACAACCCTTAGAATCCTATTATTTTTTAAGAAGGAAAAATTGGAGAGCCTTCTGAGCCAGAGTAGGCTCAGAGACTCCTGTTGTTTCTAACTGAAATAGTAACTTTAGTAGCTTTTCAAGAGTCCTTAAAAATTTTTGAACAGCACAGAAACATGGATTACTTTTAGCTCTCAGATTGAGTTATACTTCCCAGCAATTTCTGTTATGCAACATTGCTATCTCATTTCTAGTGTAATACTTACATGGAAGTCTTTCTCTGTTTGGGGGTGGAGGGGTCTGGTACATAGGAATTTCTTAATGGCAGAATATTCTGAAATTCTCAGCATTAAAGTATATTTGATAATTAGTTCACTTAATATTAAAGCATGTTCATTCTTCTCTTCCTAGGTCGCTATTAAAGCATGAAGACTTTCTGAAACCTGCCCTAGAGCTGGGATATTGTTTGTGGACAATATTTTTTATTGTCTCTTGTTTAAAAAGTGAACAGTGCCTAGTGAAGTTAGGTGACTTTTACACCTTTTATGATGACTACTTTTGGTGGAGTTGAAATGCTGTTTTCATTCTGCATTTGTGTAGTTCGGTGCTTTGTTCAAAGTTAAGTGTTTTCAGAAAAGTATGTTTTGCATGTATTTTTTTACAGTCTAAATTTTGACTGCTGAGAAGTTTCTATTGTACAAAACTTCATTTAAAAGGTTTTTCTACTGAATCCAGGGTATTCTGAAGATCGAAGCCTGTGTAAAATGCTACCAAATGGCAAAAAGCAACAATAAACAGTTTGATTTTTACTTTTCTTTCTAACATATCAATGCTTAGCAGAACTATTCAGATTAAGTTGTCAGTAGTAAATTTAAAGACAAATGCCCATTTTCCTCCAGTCCATGAAACATACCATACTTATATAACTGCAACTAAATGTTAAAAATTATGCTCTGTAACTCTGTACTGCTAGTATTAGAACTAAAAACCTTAAAATACAGCCAGTGCTTAATGCTTATATAAATGTGGATTTGTCAGCTTTTATGTAATCTGTAATATGTATAGCAGGAAATAAGAAACGAAGAGTTACACAGTGTATGCCTTAAAAGGCTGTTTCTTAAAAAGCTGTTACAAGGGGATAATGGTATTTCAACTAGTTATCAGCAAGTGACAATACATTCCACCACAAATATACTCTTGTTCTTCTAGCTTTTAGACTATATGAAAAAACTGGGTGCTTCAGAGTACATGATAAGAGAAGGGAACACTACACCTGTGTCATGGATGAACTGAAGACTTTGCCTGTTCATTTTTTAAATATTATTTTCAGGTCCTTTGCTTACCAAAGGAGGCCCAATTTCACTCAAATGTTTTGAGAACTGTGTTTAAATAAACGCAAATGGAAAGAAAAATGCTGGTGCAGCTGTTTACAAAGAAGTGTTCTTGTTCTATTAGAGTTCTTCTGTAGTTAATTGTTAGGGCAGTGTGTTCCTTGAACTGAGGTGTATCTTTGCTATTTTGGGGAGGGGGAGATGAATTTCTGTTTCTGTTCCTGAAAAATTCAGAGGGATATCCATTTGGGGATGGAGTTATAGTAAATAACTAGACTGAGGGTACTTGAAATACATGTTCTTAGTTTTCTTTTGTATTTAAGTAATTTTCATGACCATTGCAGAGATGTTGCTATATGTAGATTCTTTTGTTACCTTGCTAACCTTTATCGCATTTAGATACTAGTACATTTCAGGTACTTTGAGAAGCACTTTATATACAATCTTTAGCAATGAAATGATATAACTTACCTTAGTTCAAATAGCTGTTTAGGTGGCAATGCCACGATCTGAACCTAGGTGATGTTAGTCCATAGTTCTGTTAATCGTGATGTCATTCAGCCTCAAATCTGGGTAGCTGGGTGATGGAAAATACCAGTAATGGAGCATAGGCAGTATTGGCAGGTCTTAATTTGTAAAACTTACTGTCCAGGGTGTTGATAATCTCCAACATAACCCTCAGTTTCTGTCTTAAAGCCTGAGTTTTAGCCCTTTCGTCGTGTAGCTGTCCTTTATCCTGCTGGTTAAAAGTTTCCTTTTTTAGGCTAGTCTGAGTTATTTTTCTGGCTTTTAAAGAATTTTAAGTATTTGACATGGCCATGAAGAGTGTTAACAGGCAAAAGACCTTGAGGAAAACTTGGAATTTTACCAGGTTGGGACAGACTGAAAAGTAGTAGTAGTGGTACTACACAAAGTGGTAGTCTTTTGATGTGCTGTAATGCTAGTCACCAGTTTCATGAAAGGCAGCAGTTGAATCAGACCAAAAAAACTATGGGAAAGGATAAATTTGAGTCTTAAAGTTCTTGCCTCAAGGCAAAGGGACTTGGAGGCTTTTATATGCCAGTACAAACAATCCATTGCTTATAGCTGTAGGGCTGAGACTACTAAAACCAAATGCAAAGTTCATTTGGAAGATTGCTCAGTTAAATAGTTTCATACTGTAAGGCCCTTGTGAAACTTCTCAGGAAATAAACAGAGTCCCAACAATGTAAACAAGGCTGTGTCAAAAGATTTGTAGACCTGGGAGCAGGGGTTTCCAACCTCCTGGCCATGAATTGCCTGAGCTCCGCCTCCTGTCAGATTAGCAACAGCAGTAGATTTTCATAGCAAGAACCCTATTGTGAAGTGCACATGTGAGGGATCTAGGTTGCGCATTTCCTTATGGAAATCTAACTACATGTTAGAGAATGCTCAAGCTCTACAATGTTTACACTGTTGCCCCTACATAAGGAATATATGCCTTAGGATGAAACTAATAGCTCTTAGGCCTCTTATTCCATTGACTAGGATTCCAATTCTGCAAGGCCCAGGAGGAGAAATTGAGAATTAGAAGTTTCACCCAGAAGAAATAAAAGGATTTGGTTTGCATTATTATCAAAATTTCTGTAAATTCGACGGAAATTTTGAAGATGGATTAGGCTGGGTTTGTTATTAGCAGTGGACACACTACCGGTATTCCTTCAGCATGCCATCTCAGTGGTTTTTATGTGATTGACTCTTGTAGGATTGGACTTAATGCTTTGTAAGGGGTTATTGTATACAGTATAAAGGATTATATATAATCTTTTATATATAATGTGAAGACTTGAAAGTGACAAGAATACAGGATTGGTTCTATTCCACTCATTCTGCCCCTTACAAGACAAGACCCAAAATAATCCTTTTTTTCCATGAGTAATCAGTTGAAGTTAAGAAAACTGTTTCAAGAGTTATACTGCCCTGGCAAGAGGAGATGAACTGAAATGGGATTCCACGTTTGTAGAGACCAGGTAATCACTGTTTTTTGGTGTGTGGGGGGTTTGTTTTGGTTGGTTGGTTTGTGTGTATGTGTGTGTGTGTGTTTTGAGACATAGTTTCACTCTTGCCCAGGTTGGAGTACAATGGCGGGATTTCAGCTCACTGCAACCTCTACCTCCCAGGTTCAAGTGATTCTCCTGCCTCAGCCTCCCAAGTAGCTGGGATTACAGACACGCACCACCACGCCCGGCTATTTTTTGTATTTTTAGTAGAGACGATTTCGCCACATTGGTCAGGCTGGTCTCAAACTCCTGACCTAGGGTGATCCACCCACCTCGGCCTCCCAAAGTGCTGAGGTTACAGGCATGAGCCACCCACACCCAGCCAAGACCAGGTAATCACTGTTAACCCCTAGAAACTGAAGTTGGCAGGGTTAATAATTAAAAGGAGCAAGATACAATTAGTGTGTGAAAGGACCTGGCAGGAATTTCAAGCTGTAGTTAACTAGATACTAGGTTCAGGCTGGGCGCAGTGGCTCATGCCTGTAATCCCAATACTTTGGGAGGCCAAGGCGGGTGGACCACCTGAGGTCAGGAGTTCGAGACCAGCCTGGCCAACATGGCGAAACCCCATCTCTACTAGAAATACAAAAATTAGCCTGGTGTGGTGGCAGATGCCTGTAATCTCAGCTACTTGGGAGGGTGAGGCAGGAGAATCGCTTGAACCTGGGAGGCAGAGATTGCGGTGAGCTGAGATTGTGCCATTGCTCTCCAGCCTGGGCAACAAGAGTGATACTCCATCCCAAAAAAACTAGGTATTACATTCACAGAAATAAAAACACACTAGTCTTTTGCCAAAGACACCTGCAACTATTGAACTATGTTGTAGAAAGATAAATACTCAAACTTAACCAGAAATGATAGTTGACCAACATCATGGGTTTGAACTGTGTGGGTCTCCTTACAGGAATTTTCTTCTGCCTCTGCCACCCTTGAGGCAGCAAGACCGGCACCCCCACTCCCTCAGCCTACTCAATTTGAAGATGATGGAGGATGAAGACTTCTGATCCACTTTGATGTAGAAAATAAGGATTATAAGAACAGATACACAATATATACACAAGTTTTGTGTTACATAGGTTATTGGTAAAACTTCTGACCAACAGACTGTTCAGGGGGAATCAAAGGTTGTGCGCAGCTAGGTACAGAGGATTACATGAGAACAAAGACTAGGACCTCAAGAAAAAACCTTGCTCGTTGTCTTCATCTGGAGAAATAGGCATGAGTTTACAGGTATCTTCTGAACAGATCAATATCTTAACCGTCTTTGTGGTTAAAGGGTTTGAGCAGCAGGATAGATTGGTAACAAAGCAAAGGCAATGAACATACCAACATGGATATCCACTCAAGTTTAAACATTATTGCCAGCACTGGCAATAATGTGAAACACACTTTGATGGAAATAACTGCAATATTAAGTTTACCTGTGAAGGGGGGACAGTAATTTTCACTGAAAATAACATTCTGGATTTGGTTTCTTGTCATTCCTTTATGGGACCTTATATCCATACCTGTATTGTACTATGTGACTTGGCTTCTGTACCAGAGTTCACTGGAGAAAACCATTTCTATATAGTTGATACCAACTATACATACTGTTTGTATTGATTTTGAGAGAGGGTCTCACTGTGTACCCCAGGCTAGAGTACAGTAGTGTGATCGCAGCTGAACTGCAGGCTTGAACTGGGCTCAAGTGATCCTGCCATTTCAGTCTCCAAAGTAGGGAACTACAGGTCCAGTTATTTTTTGTGTTTGTTTTTTTTGAGAGGGAAGCGTGCTTTGTTACTCAGGCTCGAGTGCAGTGATATGATCTCAGCTCACTGCAACCTGTCTCGGGTTCAAGCAATTTTCCTGCCTCAGCCACCGAAGTAGCTGGGATTACAGGTGCCTGCCACCACGCTAATTTTTGTATTTTTAGTAGAGATGGGGTTTCACAGTGTTGCCAAGCTCATCTCAAACTACTGACCGCGTGAGCCACTGTCTCCTGGCCCAAGTTCAGCTAATTTTAAGAGAGAGGGGTCGCATTATGTTGCCCAGGCTGATCTCAGTCCTCCCACCTTGGCCTCTGTAAAATGTTGGGATTACAGGCGTGAGCCACCGCATCTGGCCAGGTTCTCTATTTTTAAATCCTAAATTAGAATTAACTGAATCATAAGGTATATGAACATTTTTAAAGTTCTTGAATGTACCAATACGCATCACTAAATTATTTTCCAGGGCTGTACTAATTAACCTACCAGAAAGTGTATGAAAGTGCCTTGAATCCTTAGTCTTAACACAAAGTTGATTGATAAAAGCACTTTGCTCAAGTTTGGAAATATCTGGACTATCTCATGTGAAAGGACATATGCTTCTAACTTTGCCTGTGCCCTTTAAAGTTTGCTTTTATTCACTCCATCTCAAGGCAAGTAACAACGGTGAATAGGGCATAGTTGTCTTCCATTCATCCCATTCATTGCTGTTTGTTTGTTTGTTTTTTGTGATACAAAGTTGAGCTCTTGTCACCTAGGCTGGAGTGCAGTGGCACCATGTCTCACTGCAACCTTCACCTCCACCTCCCAGCGGTTCAAGCAATTCTCCTGCCTCAGCTTCCTGAGTAGCTGGGATTACAGACACCTGCCACCACGCCTGGCTAATTTTTGTGTTTTCAGTAGAGACGGTTTTGCCATGTTGGCCAGGCTGGTCTTAAACTCCTGATATCAGGTGATTCGCCTTCCGCGGCCTCCCAAAGTGCTGTGATTGCAGGCCTGAGCCACCGCGCCTGGCCACATCACATTCATTTTTGCTTATCTCCCCCAATACAGTATCGCCAAGTGCAGTGGCTCATTGTAATCCTAGCACTTTGCAAGGCCAAGGCAGGTGGATTACGAGCTCAGGAGTTCAAGACCAGCTTGGACAGCACGGTGAAACCCTGCATTTACAAAATAAATAAATTAGCTGGGCACAGTGGCTCACACCTGTAGTCCCAGTTACTTGGGCTGAGGTGGGAGAAAAAAAAATTATATTCTGGAACACTTCTTGTTGCCTTAATTAAAGCTTTTGTATGCTTATTTGCCAACCTTTCTA